CTCTATAAATACCCAGGTAACCGAATGAAGAGGCAACGCATCAAGGATAGACACAGCAGCAGTATAACAGAAGCCGAATTTCTCAAAAGCTCTCAATAGTTCTATATTACTCTCTTCTCTTCTCCTTCTCTTCCTTTCTTCACTTTCTTTCTTTCTTTCTTTCTTTCTGTAGCAGTAAGATAGTTACTTCAGCCACTTGTACATCGATAAAAGTCGGTAACGTTCATATGACTTTTATATTTTCAAATGTGTGATTGTCATCTCTCTGCTTTACCTTCTTACTATCCTAACGAATGGAGAAAGTTTGCCAGCCTTTGTATATGTAATCAGTAAGTAGTTATGCAATTCAAATTTGTGTTTACAATCAAAATTAGAGAATATACTCATACTTCGTGGATCGTATTTGATATTTCTTTGTTTCCTGTTTTCATTATTATATTTGCTTTTTTATATTATGTTACTCTATTGCAACAATTAGTAGCTGCGAACTCTGCAATCTTCTCATATTTAATATAAATAGTAGTAAAATTAGTAGTAACAGCTTAGGGTAGATCTTAGGCCGAAAATGGTATCAGGGCAATCCCATCCCCTCCTAGCCGACCTCCCATATCAAGGTCCCAAAGGGCACAAATCCCACGTTACGCTCGAGGCATTAATCCATACAAGAGCTGACGTTATGAAGGTCATCCAAGCCAACGATAATCTCGAGGACTCAATAGCCCGAATCAATAAAACCCTTAGTCATATCATGGAAAGGCTCAAGGAGTTCGATAATGCTAGGCGACCTGGGAGTTCATCTTATCATGAGTGCAGCTCACCCCTCATACCAGCATCCATGGAAGAGGTGAGAAGACCACCAACTCCTCAACCGACACAGACTCCTCCCCCTCAAGCCATGCCAAGTGCTCAGGCTGCTTCTCCCATAGTCACCCAAGGGAACATTCAATCCATGGTTAGCCGAAGCCTTTGGGGCATGCAAATCTCAAGGATGCAAGAGACGATCTCATACAGAAAGCCATATTCGGCTTCCATTGATCAATTGCCGTTTCCCTCCACTTACCAAAAGGGAATGTTATCAGTCTTCAATGGCACTAGTTCACCTCAACAACATGTGGCACACTTCGTCTCTGCATGTCAAGAATCAGCGTCAGATAGTAGACTCTTCCTTTGTCAATTTGTGGAGACCTTGGATGGGTCAGCTTTTAAATGATATGCTCGCATGCCATCAAATTCTATCCACTCTTAGGACGAAATGGAGCACTTGTTCTACAAGTGCTTCTATGAAGTCGAAAGAGAGGTTGAGGCTATAGAATTTCTCATATGACCCAAGGGCCAAATGAGTGGGTTGACAAAGTCATCAAAAGATGGAGGGAGCTAGCCGTTAATCAAAGCAATCCTATGCCTGAGGCTAATGCAGTCCAAATCTACGTTCGAAATATCAGACCAGAGATCTGAATGCATGTCGAGGCATCAAATCCTCTCACCTTCTCCGACATGATCTCTAAAGCAGTACGCATCAAGAGCCTGTTTAAACACCATTATTATACCCAGCTGCAACCCTCGAATGGAGGGACGAACCAAAGTTCTAATAACATTTGGCCTAACCCATGCATGAACTAACAAAAGGATGTGGTTAGCACGATAGTCACAACCACACCAACTGATCCCCAAACACCCGCTGGTCAGACGCCTCTTAAAACTATGGAAACCTCTTGTGAAATGCCACAGTTGAGAGCTCAAGGGGAGCCTCACCCAAAGCAGCAGAGCTTCAAGTGTATAATCGGGTACCTCCGCCCCCAAACCTTTATCGATCTAAGTACTTTGAAGAAAGAATGAACAAGCAGTATACTTTCGATAAGGATTGGGTCTCGACTATTCTGCAAATGTTGTTGGAACAAGGGACGATAGCCCTTCCAGAACAAAAGGCCGGATGAGGTGGGCCTCACCAACAATAAGAGATAGTGCATTTATCATCAGATGGTGAGTCAACCCAGTCCAAATTGCTTTCGCCTTAAAGACCACATCGAAGCTCTGTTCCAAAAGGGGCAAATTCACTTGGGCAATCTTAAGAAAGCATTTGTGGCAATTAAGGCCCTCCCATATGATTGTAGTCGAGGAAGGACAACCTCAAGGCATGCATCTAAGAGAAGGGTCACTTGATATTTTCCCCGTTGTATTTGCGATACTCATAAAAGAAGAAATGTTCCTCTCACACCCATCCAAAGAGCTAAGGACTATGGCTCAAGGGTGTGAGAACCTCTGGTGCCCATATCACCAGTTGAGAGGTCACAACATATCTTAATGCTTGGGTTTCAGGTCCATTATGGAAGAACTCAAGACAAAGGGGCGAGTGATTGTAGCAATACCTGCACCCACGCACGAAGAGCCCGACCAAGTGCTCGACCCTACAGACTACAAAGCCAGCAAGGAAGCACCACCATGTGAAGATGTACCTCTTGAATCCTGCAACCCTCCAACATCTAAACCTTGGCAGGTCTACCATGGGTGTAGTAGGACGAAAGCCCTTAAGAGAGAGGCAATTCGGCAAGCAAACTTGGCACCAAGGCCATACCACCCTCACTAACCTGCCATGTCAATAAGAAGGGGAGTGAGCTTCAAGAGTCGCTCGTCAAAAGAGAAGGATACCGCAATCCCCCATGTTAAAGCGGTATTTCTTCCTCCGGTGCCTCCACTTCCTACTCTATATGTCTTCATCCCACAACAAGTTCTTTTGTTCGAAGGTGACCAAGCCTAAAACATGGGTGGTCATCCTTAATGTGACACCTACTCATGCCATTATGTAGAAGTCCGATATGGGTGACGACTCTAAAAGCACCCCTCAACGGTCTATTTGGGGTAAAGACCTAAAAGATCCTCTATATCAGTCTAACAAGGGTGAGGACTTTAAAAGAACCCCTTAATGATCCATTAAGGGTAAAGACCTAAAAGATCCCCTATATCACTCTAACAAGGGTGATGACTTTAAAACCATCACTCAACGGTCCATTCGGGGTAGAGACTATAAAGTTCCCATGTATCCGTCCAACAATGGGTTATGACATTACGAGATCATCCATTACGTCCAATGAGAGTGAGTACGTTAAAAGCCTCTTTGAGTCAAAGACAGGTGAGGACCCCAAAAGCTACCTGGTTCAGTCCAATGTGAGCGATGACCCTAAAACCTCTCCCCCTTTTTCAATCCCTAATTCTTCAAACCCTTCTTCTCCTAACACATCTCTCTCAAAACTTACCCTCGAATGCCAAGATTTTGAGGCTGTTGATGAAGAGCTCGAACATTGCAACAACAACAGAAGGCATCGTCAACAATTAAGAAAGATGGTGGCTCAAATGTCTGGTTTCCTGAGTGCTGGTGATGCCTTAGCCTTCGCCGCCAAAAAGAAAAAACCAAGCCCTACTAAGGAGGAGTTAATCGAGGGCTTCTAAATCTTGAAGCTCAAAAAGTCTCGTTGGCCCCCAGAACCAGACAGGGAGCATCAATGGAAGGATATGAGGGGAGAAACTTCCTCTTCTCATGAGGCATGCTACATGGTGCTCATCACTATGGGAAACATGACAATAGGGGTTGGCCAACTAGAGTTAAGATCGGGAAAAAGACTCCAGCCCACTTGAAACCCAAAACGGCCAAAGCTCTTGAAGTACCCAAGTCTGCCACTGGTTCCTTACCCAAACACACCATCCACACAATCCAAACATCCACCTTCCCTAAAATATCCAGGCCCCCCACCATTTGTCCCTTATCCAAATCCATCTTATTCAAAAACCCTGAAGCATCACGATCCACAACTTATCCTATCCTACCAACACCTACCCCGACTGTGCAAACTAGCCAGGCATGTCTTGCTCCTCCTATAGCTGCAGGTGATCCTCCCCCACCGAGAGCTGCTCCACTACCCCCTGTACCTCCAAGAATAGTGGTAATCCAAGGAGCTGCGCATTCCGATGATGATAATGTCAAATATGATGTAATGGGAAATCTAAGGAGACTTTGAACCTTGTTGAGCATCTATAATGCTCTCATACTCTCGAATGATTTTCGTATGGCTTTCATTCAAGCTCTTTTCTGGCCTGAAGTGTATGAGACCGAGATTGAGCGAGTTGGAGTGGATCTTGCAATTCTCAATAATTGCATGGCTATCACCTTTTCAGATTATGATCTCCAGTTGAGGGAAAATTTCCATAACTGACCTTTGTTCAAAAAACCATTTTTTGACATACTTCATAAATGATAAGTAATCAAATGGACTCCAAATCAAGGGTTTTTTGTTGCAAAACGATCACAATGACTTCCCCTTCGATTAGTGATAAAAAATATGACCAAGAATGACACAAAGCATGCAAGATCCAATATAAAAAATCTCAAGTTTATGAGTTTGGTTGGATTTTGGAACGAAGGTCAGAAGTTCGATTGAAGACTCAAAACTTATATCAAAACAATCACCTTGTGATATTTTACACTTCTATGGAATTAGAGCGCTCAGAATGTTGTCGGAATGCACCAAAAATAGGCCTGAACCATGGCAAAGGCAAGAGGCCCCTTTGAAGGGATGGTTTTGTCATTTGCACATTTCTATGGAGGGGCAAAATGGTCATTTTTTCTTAAAAACGAAATTCCTTTTTATTCATTTTAATTGTATTTTTTGTCAACTAGGTTTCGTTTTGCACATCCATCCATGTTTTTGGATGACTCTGTATAAGCATTTTTACTTCATTTTGTAATAAAGCTAGTTAAGTTGATATTAAAATCAAGCATTTCCTTTTTTGAGCTTGTGTTTTTTCCTTCCTTCTCAATTCAAGAGAGGGGAGAGAGAATACTTTCCCCATTAAGCTCCCAACCCCTTGGACCATCAATCTCTCTCCTCTTGCTCTTCTCTCTCTTTCTCTCTCGCCCTCCCCCTTCTCTTCCTCTCTCTCTTTCTCCCCCTTCTTCTCTCTCTCTCTCTCTCTCTCTCTCTCTCTCTCTCTCTCTCTCTCTCTCTCTCTCTCTCTCTCTCTCTCTCCTCCTCTCTCTCTCTCTCTCTCTCTCTCTCTCTCTCAACCTATAATTGGTATGGAACCACCAGCCGCCAAGATCTGCTGCTCCAGCTGCAATTGGCATAGCAGGGGTCACAATCTTAAAGAGTCAATCACACTCTACTTGCTTTAGAGAGACGAGATATGTTACTTACCCTGAAGAGTGTCTCCAGCTTGTTCTTGATGAATACAAACTCCTGTTCGACTTGCCTAAGACACCTCAAACATCTGTGCGGAGAATTTAAGAATTCATTAACTCTCTCTCTAATATAAACCCTCCCCCCCCCCCCCACAAAACAGGTGAAATAGAAGAACAAAAAAAACAAAGCTAAATTTTGAATTTTACCCATCTCTGTTTTTCTCTTCACAGCTGACACGAAATGGTATGCACACATTTTTCACTCTCTGTGCTCCTATGCTGCAACAACCCATCTCATATCATTTCTCCATTTCATACATTGAGTTCATAATTACTAAAACCACTATGTTCATTTCACAAGTCCCCAAATTTCATAGAGAATAGTTCACAATTTATTAGACGATATTGGGTTGTTCATGATTTACTCAATTTCATGGAAAACCACTAAAATATTGTGTTTAATGCCTCTAAAGCAGACATAAAGAAATTCCGTTTTTTCTGGGAAACTTGCTCTCTCTATGGCACTTGTGCATTAGATCTCTTATGGCTCACAAAAAAGAAAAACATTTTTTTTTTTTATTAAGTTCCATAAAGATTGAAAATAAAATGTTTGATATAAACTAGATCTATGGGTACCATGAAATGATGACAAATAAAGGAAGGCCTTTTCCCTACTCAAGGAGACATTTTTTTTGCAAAATTGCAACAGTATTGTACCTAGAGCTGCTTCCCTTCAATTGATGAACACAGGCATCCACCCTCTTGAAATCAACTGGTTGTGCCTCCCTTCAAATACCAAAACAAAAAGTTTCAAACTCAGAAGGAGAAAGAGAGGAAGAAGAAGATGAAGAATAAGAGCCATGTCCATGAAAAAAAAATAAAGAGTAATAAAAATCACTAGCATCCATGAAAAACCAGATGGTTAACTCGAAAACACGCAAAAAAAAAAAAAAAGTCAAGTGGGAAGGATATGGCAAAAAAAGAAAGAGTTAGTGAGAGAAAGAAGCACGGTATCTCTTACAAGGTCCTGCCCAGATCAGTGAGGAGCTTCTCCGAATCCTGAAAGAAGAGAGAGACAACTTCGACCACGAAATCGGGGTTCACTTCGTCCTGCAACTGCTGGAGCTGGGTGAATTGATCATCCAAATACCCCTGCACAAAAAATAACGGAAGCCAACTTCTCACTCTTCTAAAAAACCATAAAAAATCAAGAGAGAGAAAGAGAAAGGACGTGTGCTAACCTCCTGAAAGAGGGAGTTAATGTGTTCGATGTGGCGGCGCTGTAACTGAATCACTTCCATTTTCTGTGTTCTCAGCAGGAAGAGAGAAGAGTTAATTGGAGAGAGAGAGGGAGTGGTGGGGTACCAAAGTCATGTGTGTTCATCAAGGATTTATAGAGAGAGAAGGGCAACGTCAAATTTAATGCAATGAGAGAGAGAAGGAGAGAATCGAGCCTCGAATTTAATGGCATATGAGAGAGAGAGAGAGAGAGAGAGTATGAATCTATTCTTGCGTTTTTTGGGCATAAGAATAAGTGATGGAAGAGTGCCCCTTTTTTAAGGGGCTTACCAACCTTTCCC